GGTCCTAAATCATGCAAACAACTCATGTTATGCATGCTGAATGGCTCAAATACCGAAACTAGTGAAGTGCATTACACTAGAGGTATGCAAAGAAATGCCCAAATGAGCAAACCAACCCCAAACAGTCCCTATGCAGGCCCAAAACAGTGGCAAAATGGACTAAGATGATGGCTTCAAATGCACAAAAATAAAGCTCATGCAATGGCCCATAAATGAGGTATGCAAGCACAACTCTCAAACGCATTTAAAGAGTGGAAAACATGAGAACATGGCACAAGTATAGGCTCTAAAATAACATGCCCAATGATGCCAAGACATGGAAACACCTCAAGTTAAGCATGCAAAGGGCTCCAAAACTCAAGGCTAGGCAAGGATATTACACTACAAGTATGCATGGAAAGCATCATTCGACCAAGAGGCCTCAAAACAGAGCTAAGGAAACCCAAAATATGAACAAAATCAGTTTGAAGTATGGCCAAAATATGCTAGAATCAATGGCCAAAACAACATGCAATGTAAGCTAGTGAGCATGGTTTACACTACAAGCATGTGAAGTATTCAAGAGGCCACTAAACCAGCCAAAGACAGAGCTATGATATGCCAAAGAATGACCAAAAGCCCACTGAAACATGACCAATACATGCAAGAATGACATGCTCCTTTGATAAGCTATGAAGAGGATTATTCTACACATGCAAAAGGCAAACATGAGGTGACCAAACCAGCCCTAGACAGAGATATGATACGCCAAATAATGATCAAAACCCCACTGAAACATGACCAATACATGCAAGAATGACATGCTCCTTTGATAAGCCATGAAGAGGATTATTCTACACATGCAAGAGGCAAACATGAGGTGACCAAACCAGCCCTAGGAAGAGTCTAGGCAGGTCCTAAAAGTCACTAAAAATGGCCTGAACCAAGTCTAGGAAGTATGAAAATATAGGCTCCTTGGAAAGGCCAAATATGCAAACAAATAAGGCCAAAAGAGAGAGGGTCACCCCTCTCTGATTTTGGCCCTCAAAACAGCATGCCAACCACTAAAAATCCACTGGATTTCAGTAGCTAAAAGGCCAAGCAAAGGTTAACGCAAAGGCCTTAAGGCATGGCTCAAAACAAGACTAAATGAAGCATGCAAGAGGGTAGATGACCTCCAACAGGAAAATGGCCTTAAACAAACATGAATAATGCTTAAAAATAAATCTTTTTTCGGTTGACAACAAACCTCAAATAAGCATGCAAATGAGGCTAAGAGAAGGATCAAAATAATGCTTAAAAAGGAAGAAAATGAGTTACCCTTGAAGCTCAACAAAGACAGCAACTTCTGGACCAAAAACCCAGCTCCCTAACCTCTGAAAATGACCTCTAAGAACTTTAGGTTGATGGTGGAAGTGTTAGGTTATGAGGTGTGGTGCAAAAGGGTCAAGAACAATACACTTCCTAAGCCTAAATATAGAGACAAAGAGAGATATATGTGTATGTGCCTTAACCAAGATCTGAACCCTCACAAAGGAGGGGGAGACCTTCCTTTATAGACAAAGGAAGCCAAAGCTTCTCAAAGAAGCTAAAAACCAAGGCCAAAGATCCTCCATACATGTGTATGGAGGATGCAGTCTGTGCCTTTCAGCTGGCACAGCTAGCAACAACTCACAGAGACAAAACTGGAGGGAGTAGACCGACCAGTTAAGGTGGTCGGCTGACCAGGGTGAGTGGTCTCTCTCAAGGAAAAGTGGTCGGCTAGCCCATTTGATGGTCTCCCAACTAAATGCAAGCTAGTGGTATGGTGGGAGACCAGCAAATGTGGCTCAAAAATCAAGGAGACCAGTTCCCGACAAGAAAATCGACTGGTGGAGAGAGAAGTGGTCTCCAAAATAAAAGGTGGTCTCCCACCCTTGTACCACCTTCCAAATAATGAAAACAAGGTTCATGCCAAAAATGAACCAACACCGATGCAAAACGAGGGTTCGGGGGGCAAAACGCGCGGCCGGGTGCCCCGAAAACAGGCTGTTAAGCACCAAAAGTGGCGTGCGACCACAAAGGTGGTCTCCCAGGCCACAGTGTCCCTTTAGACAGAGGAAACAAGGTGTGTGCCAAAAATCGTGCCAAACGGAGAATGTTAAGCGGTCTTGAACTGAGGCGCGCGGCCGACGGCTCCGAAAAACGGAAACTGGTCTCCAAACGGGAACAGTGGCCTGCGACTATGAAAAGTAGCCTACGGCCACTGAGAAATGGTCTACAAGACCTCTCCCTCCCTCCGGGAAGAGAAAACAAGACTTAGTCCGCAGACCGAGTCAAAGCACAAAAAGCTCCGAGGCTCGGAGGGTAAGACTCTCAGCCAAAACTCCAAAACTTCAGAACGAGCATAACATGCACCATCACCGAGCGCTCAATCGATGACATCTGAGTCTTAAGGTCGGTCAAAAATGGGGTCTCTACAGGTTTTTAAAGAGAAAAAATTTTTCAGGGGCTTCACAACCTATGCCCCTTAAAACAATTTCGTCCCCAAAATTTAACTACATACTGCCTTCGAAAAGTTTAGGGTAGTTTACCTTCATCCAATCTTAGCGTTCCCAAGTAGATTCCTCAAATCCCCGATGACGCCATAACACTTTTACCAAGTGAACCATTTTTCCTCTAAGGTTCTTCTCTCGGCTATCCTGTATTGCTTCCGGTCCTTTTTTAAATGTAACATCTTTGTCAAGACTGAATTTCTTCCCATTTGAGGACGTGTGATGAGTCGGCGATGTATTTTCTCAACATAGATACATGGAAGACGTCGTGTATCCCTGCTAATTGCGGAGGTAGAGCTAGTCTATACGCTACTTCGCCCACTTTTTCCAATACCTCAAAAGGCCCAATATATCGTGGTGACAGCTTTTCCTTTTTCCCGAAATGTACGACTCCACGCCTAGGTTGCACCTTTAGGAACACGTGGCTGCCTACTTCAAACATCAATGGCCTTCTTCTCCTATCTGCATAACACTTTTGACGGTCTTGAGCAGTCTTTAACCGTTGTCGGATCAATTTGACCTTCTCAGTAGTTTCTAGAACAAGTTCGAGTCCTATCAGATTTGCATCACCCACTTCCACCCAACAAATCGGCGATCTACAAGGTCGTCCATATAATGCTTCAAAGGGCGCCATACCGATGCTAGCTTGAAAGCTATTGTTATAGGTGAATTTAATTAGGGGTAGGTGTCGTTCCTAACTTCCTTGAAAATCTATTGCGCAAGCTCTCAACATATCTTCGAGTGTCTGGATGGTGCGTTCAAATTGTCCATCTGTTTGCAGGTGAAAGGCGGTGCTAAAACATAACTCCGTACCTAGAGCTTCCTACAGGCTTCCCCAAAATCGAGAGGTGAACCATGAATCACGATTTGACACAATAGACACCGGAATTCCATGTAGCCGAATGATTTCCCCGATGTAAAGCCTACACATAGACTCTAAAGTGTCGGTCATCTTATAGGGTAAGAAATGTGCTGACTTGGTGAGGCGATCCACTATTACCCATATAGCATCGCGTCCTTTAGGTGACTTAGGCAACCCTGTCACAAAATCCATCGTCACAAACTCCCACTTCTATTTGGCTATTGATAGAGGTTGCAACATTCCCCCTAGTTTCTGATGTTTTGTCTTCACTTGTTGGCATGTCAGACATTTCGCTACAAATTTAGCCACTTCCTTCTTCATTCCATTCCACCAATACTGCCTCTTCAAATCTTGGTACATTTTAGTCCCTCCTGGATGTATCGCAAATGCAGAAAGATGACATTCCTTAAGTACCTTTTCTCTAAGTAGCTCGTCACTTGGTACAAACAATCTACCTTGGTATCTTAAACTCCCATCGGGGTGAATTACCCAATTGAGCATGGGTTCTCCTGATTCTAGACGTCCCTTGATATAGGCTACCCCTTGATCGTGCTTTTGGGCCTCCATGATCTCATTCATCAACTTAGGCATCACCTTCTGTGTGCTAAGATATGCTTTTGTATCTTGAGATTCTACTAGGATTTTAAATTCATTGAGTGTGCTAGTTTGGAGAAATCTTGGATGAACCTCCGGTAATAACCGGCCAACCCTAAGAAACTACGGATTTCTGATACGGTCTTCGGTTGTCTCCAACCTAATACTGCCTCCACCTTGGTTGGATCCACCGCAATCCCATTCTCCGACACTACATGCCCTAAGAATCTTACTTCATTTAACCAGAACTCACATTTGCTTGCCTTGGCATATAACCGATTATCCCTAAAATCTTGAAGGACAGTCCTTAAATGTTGCTCATGCTCTTCTTTAGACCGTGAATATACCAAGATGTCATCAATGAACACTACTACAAACTGGTCGAGGTATGGTTTAAAGATCTTATTCAATAGGCTCATGAATACTGCCGGTGCATTAGTTAGTCCGAAGGGCATTACTATAAACTCATAGTGGTCATATCTAGTACGAAAGGCAGTTTTTGGTATATCCTCCTCCTTGACTCGTAGTTGATGGTAACTTGACCTGAGATCGATCTTTGAATAGCACCTTGAGCCTCTAAGTTGATCAGAAAGGTCATCAATCCTTGGGAGTGGGTATCGGTTTTTAATCGTGACTCGATTGAGTTGACGATAATCAATGCATAGCCTCAACGACCCATCATTCTTTTTAGCAAACAACACGGGTGCTCCCCATGGCGAAGTACTTGGCCTAATGAATCCTCTCTTAAGCAATTCCTGTAGTTGTGTCTTCAATTCTCGTAGTTCTGCTGGTGCTATACGATACGGGGCCATGGATATTGGGGTAGTTCCTGGTTGTAGCTCGATGCTCAAGTCTACTTCCCGGGTTGGTGGCAATCCCGGTAACTCCGTAGGAAATACATCTGCATATTCACATACTATGCGCAGAAGTTCTAATTTTCCTTGGCCCTCCTCATTTAAAATCAGACTTGTTATCCTACTCGTAATTTGATCGCACCACTGTGTCCTATGTTTTGTTGAAGCCATGGGGTCTTATCTATCCCCCTTAAACTGGAAACGAGTTCCATCTTGCGTGTGAGCTACCACTTTCCTCTGATGACAGTTGATCACTGCTCGGTGGGCAGACAACCAGTCCATGCCCAAAATGATATCGAAGTTCGACATTTCCATGACACGAAGGTCGCACATTAAGTGTAGGTTCGACATTCCTATCTTACAGTCCTTACAGATCAATCCTATCTGAACGCATCCTCCCATAGGTGACATTACATTTAAGGCAGTTTCTAAAGGTTCACATGTAAGTTCTAATGACTTAGCACAAGCAGAGGATATAAAAGAATGTGATGCACCAGTATCAAATAAAACATGCACCAAAGAATTGTATAGCACTAAATTACCCTCAATTACAGACGGGTCTGCTTTTTCCTCTTGCAAGGCAAAGATTCTGCTGGTTGCCTTTTGGTTGCCACTAGTCTTGGCGTTCTGAGTTCCCCCACTCTTTTGGTGCTGCTGCCCGATCGATCCTGTCTTGTTCGTCCAAGGCTTCTGCCCACCTAATGCCTGGGCATTTGCTCCGGAACCTCCTCCTTGGTACCCAGATGGAGGGAGTTGGGGGCATTCGCTCTTTTTGTGCCCCAATTGTTGGCAATGAAAGCATTGGATTTTTCCCGTCGGCCTTTGTTGATAGCCTCCTTTCTGGATCTGTTGCTGCGGTTGCTGTCGTGGTTGTGGTCTGGAGTAGGGCTTTGGGGTCATGTTTCCTTTTTGGTTCCTCTGAGGTCCAATAGACGTCTGACTCCCCCTCCTCTTGCTCCAAGCCTTTCTAGCGTCGGTTATTTCCCTTTCAGACTCTAACGCCGTTTCCAACACCTCGGCATATGAGGGGAGTCGTTGCGGAAGAACTCTTCCCCTGATTGTAAGGTCCAATCCCTACTCGAACATTCTTGCTTCTCTTCATTATTTGCTACATATCTAGTTACGTAACGAGCTAACTCTTCAAATTTTGTAGCATACTGGGTCACGGGCATGTTTCCTTGTTCCAGGTTTTGGAATTCCTTGACTTGTTCTCGGCGGACTGTACTTGGGAAATATTTATTTAGGAACAGTTCCCTGAACTAGTTCCATGATAGGCTCGCCACGTCACAAGTATTCTTGATTAACTCCCACCAGTGGTCAGCCTCCTTATCAAGCTCGAATACTGCCAAAGCTATTCTATCAACGGCCTCGGTTATGCCCTTGGTGTCTAGCATTTTCTCTATCTTCTGAAGCCAATTTTCAGCTACCTTTGGGTCCGGTACACCTGTGAACTCTGGGGGCCTCTGCTTTCGAAACTCAGACAAGAGTCGAGTCCTCTCATTCTGCCGATTGTTCCTTACTTGCCCTAATTCCTCTAAAATTTGATGTCCTAGATTATTGGGAATGTCAGCCCTTGTGGGGACGGGTCTGTGTTGGTTTCTGGGGTGGTTCCGTGCGTTGTTGCTAGTTTCGGTATAGCCATTAGCTTGCGTGTCCACCATTCTGTTCATGGCACGTGGTGAGTTGGTTTCCAATTTTAGATAATCTTACTACTTAGATTTGAAATGAAGGTTCAGTTTCCTTAGAGTGTACTAAAACAAGTAACAGTCAACAACATAGATAAACAAATCATTCATATCTTATAATAGGCATCATTACAAAAGGGCTCCTAAATCGGAGTTACATTTAAAGGGCATCTATGCATTACAAAGTTTAGGCTATCGTATTCTAAGGATCCCTATCAGCGAATCTTACAAAAGTCTAGTTTTACTATTCTTCGAACTAGTTCTCGTTTCCCGACCAATCAAAGTCTTCTTCTGGGTCTTCATCAGCGGAGTCAGTGGCTTGGTCCGGAGAGCGGAGGGTGCACGTTGGTGAGGGTGAATTGTGTTCAGATGACACCTCTATAGGGTAGGCTGGGGTTGCTCCTTGCTGTTCTGGTGGCTACTCCATATTCATTGGTTGATTGTTGCCTGGCCCCTGATAACAGGATGCGTAGCTTTCAGCCTGAGTTGGTGGTCGGTGGTATGCTACGGTGGTCAAAGCCCGGCTCAAAAATTGTAGGCGGCGCCGCACTAGGGACCTCTTCTACTCCCTCGTATAGCGGGAGTGCTTCGTTTCCACCTTACGTATCTCGGTTCTGATCATTTCCTCAGCGGCACTTGTACAGCGTCGGCGGCTAAAGCAGGGGCTAACAGACATGGCCCTCATTCCTTGCATACGGAAAGTACCCCACAAGTTGAGACTGACGCCGCGTCCTGGATAATCTCCTACTGACATCCTAAGGTGTAAATTTTCTTTTTTTATTTCTTAGTCTTCTTTAAATATAATAGTGTGATAAAGAGGTAAAGGCTTCTAGAGTCGCATATTGGGTTGCACGGGTTAAGGGTTGAACCTAGGCTCTGATACCAAATTGTGACGCCCCGATTCTACACTATTGGTTGTAGTCAAGGAAGAATCACGAATGAGTCCTGTGGTCAATAACAAAGTAAGATCCCAGTTCACCGGAAGAGTCAAATTAGCCTCCCTTCTAAGTCCGGCTTTCTTAGGCAGCGCACTACCCTTTTGACAGATCTTAAAAGCCATTGACACAAGATCTCATATGCAACGATAAGGTTCATACATAAACGTAGAATATAAATACATAACAACCACGAATATCCTTAATTCAAAAGCTTGTTACGTTACATTACATCCCAAGAAAATTTAAATCTTCACATGAGTCTTACAAAATA